AGGTTGGACTATGAGGTGTGGGGGCGCTTGCAGGCGGAAGATGCGTCCTTGCTTAAATTACGACGGCGAGTCAGAGAGACCACCGGTGAGGCGGCTACACGTGGTGTTTCCGCGGTTGTCCTGCAGGACGGGCTGCTCATGCACTGGGATGGTGGATTACACCGGTACGCTATTGTTGTCCCTACCACTCTGCATGGCGAGGTTGTTTGGGCCGTCCATAAACATCTGAATAAAACGCTGACCTCCATCTTGAGTTACCTGGTCAGCGAGTCAAAGCTGGATTGGGACTTGCATGTCCCTGCGGTTCTCGCCGCCTACAGGATGGTCCCTCACCCGTCCACCGGCTACACTCCCTTCTTTTTGATGTATGGACGGGAATATGATCCTCCCATTGACGTAGAGTTGCAGGCCGCGCCGGCCGTGAAAGTGTCAAAAATTTCGGATTCCGTTAGTTTCACTCTTGCAAAGCTCTCCGAAGCGCGGGAAGTTTCCAGGGTCAATTCCCGAGCCAGATAGTTGGCTGGTTACATTGTCCACAGGTGCCCGTGGGCACATCCCCTAAGTTGCTGCAACCCTGGAGGGGGCCGGTTGATGTTGCTCAGGTCGTGCGTCCACAATGTGTCCAAATTTGGCTTGGTAAGTGGCGTTGGTTTGTTCACCCCTCTCGTCTGAAGCCGTTTATTGCATCATGTGAATTTGTTTCATCTCCATATCGCAGGGGCCAAGTGTTGGGTGTGCCCGACGAGCTGAGACGTGCATCTGCTGACGACGGTCTTCAGGAGAGTGTTTCTGTCCTGTCCCCAGGCGCTGCGCGATTGATGCCTCGCACGCGGCCGCTCGTGTCGGCCTCACGTGCTCCGGACGTGGAAGGTCGGATGGTCCGGCCTACTGCTCTTCATGAGGAGCTAGCTTCGTCCGATCGATTGCTCATTTCTCCCGGGTCATCCAGGGCAGACGAGCCCAGCCCCCCTGGAGGCCAGGCATTGCAGACTCGCTCGAAGACTCGGGTTGCATAATCCCTGCACGTGGCACACTCCCACGCCGTCATTGGTCGTCGGGCTCGCGTGAGTCATAGCGAGTTATTAGCTGATCCTGCTCGCCCTTGTTACACGTTGTGTAACAACGCCTTTTGGCGTCATCTGGTTGAACACCGTACGAGACTAGGCTCTAAGGAAAGCTGTCTCTGGTGTGGACCAATCAATTTCAAGGACAATGCATACATTATCAGTGTGTTTTTTGTTTGCACTCTGACCGCAGGTATTGTGGTTAATGTAAACATGATTCCTTGTAAAAAGGTTTCAGCTTTGTTGCCAGAAAAAAGGGGAAAAAACCTATTATTATAACCAAAGAGTAATTCCTGCAGTCACGAAAGCTTCGAATCTAGTTTGCTAAGTTTGTTTTCTGAAACTGCCTATTTCTCTCTCTAAAAATTTACCAGGCTCTCATAGGTCCATTCGCTATTTCTCTCCCTCGGCCGCTTCGGGGTGGATTTCCACACAACTATCTCTAAAAAAATTAACAGACTTCCTGTGTCTTTCTCTCCCCCTGCCACCGCGGGGTGGATTTCCATACAGCTCTCTCATTGACTTGCTAATTTATCTGCTCCAGCAGACCCACCTCTCTCACTGACCCACCCCCCTCTCTATTTAAGGCCACGACACAGAGGCATTGGGTCTCTGTCTCTCTCTGCTTGTGTGTCTGTCTGTGTGTCTCCGTGTCTGTGTTTTGTCGCTCTCTCAAGTTTAGTTCTACCTGATGACTGCTTGTGTTGCAATTGAAATGTCGTATTCTATGATTTAATCTATATTCTTTCTACTGACTTTACCGAAAGAACCAAAGAGGGATGTATACTGTTGTGTGTACACCTCGGATACGGGGTGTAGTACCAGCCCTAGTGGGGTCTTGGGTAAGCACTGGTTAAGCGCGGTGGCACCACGCACAGCGTGCGGTGCGGGCTCCCATTGAGAGAGCGAGAGAGTGTCAGCCAGCTAGGGTTACATTGGGGGCATGATCCTCTGGCTGACCTGGGGACATGTGACCGGATAATACTGGAGGGGGGCCACCGGTGGAGGGGGCCAATGGGTGGTCACATGGTCTGGGAAGAACTCTCGAAAGCCTTCGGGCAGGCGAGAGAGATCAAGAAGGTGGGTGGGGCGAAAGGCAGAGCCAGCCCCAGCCCACCCAATATAAGGGGGGCCCTGTGAGGGGCTCGGGGTTCTTACTGTTGGAGAGGCAGGAGATCCACGTCAAGCTTGAAGAAGCCTCCAGCCACACGGTCCAGGACCCAGCTTGTGGTCCAGACCGGGATAGCAGAACCGTGTCTAGTTTCGCCGTAGCGTGGTTAGTTGAGTGGTCACTACCCGAGAGTATGTTGTGTTAATAGCCTGGAGTATGTTGTGCAAATAGTTTAAGAAAACGTGTTGCTCCCTAAGACAACATCTGCGACTCAGTTGCACTCACTACACTACTATAGAGTCAATAGATACTAATATAGATTCAGTAGATACTACTGTAAAGTCAGTATATACTACTATAGAGGTGGTTGATACTGCTATAGAGTCGGCAGATACTACTATTGGGTCAGTAGATACTACTACAGTCAGTAAATACCATTATGGTCAGTAAATACTGCTACAGTCAGTATATACTACTGTAGAGTTAATAGTTACTACTAAAGTCAATATATACTACTAAAGTCAGTAGTTAATACTATAGACTCGATAGATACTACTATAGAGTCAGTAGATAATACTACAGTCAGTAGATACTACTATAGTCAGTATACTGCTGCAGAGTGGGTAGATGCGACTATAGAGTCAGTAGATACTGCTATAAAGTTTGTATGTACTACTATAGTCAGTGGCTACTACTAAAGAGTCAATATGTAATAAAGGACTCTCAGGCGATGTTGTTCTCCGTGTCCATTAATGGGTTCTTGCTCGCACCCCGCGATGTCTCCGCTCGGACCCGCACCTTCTCCGCCTCGTGCCTCCGCACGTCGTCTGAGTCCTCTGCTCTCTCCCTCTCTGCAGCCACACCGCTGCCCGTGTGCTCCGCACACTCCGCAGCCACCCTGCTGCTCCGTGTGACTCCGCACACTCAGCAGCCACGCTACTGCTCCGTGTGCTCCCGCACACTCTGCAGACACCCAGCTGCCCCACGAACACCACTGGCCGACGGCGCCGTGACTCCCACCCCGTGGCAATCGCGCCACTCCTTGCCAGCACTCCGCGTGGCCTCTCCTCTGTCTCCCCTCCCGATCCCCTTCCGGTTCTCTCCCTATATCCTCCCCCTCACGTGACCCTGACTCCTCCTCCTCCTCACGTGACCCTGACTCCGCCCACACTCACGTGACCCTGTCCTTGCTCGCATTACAAATAGATACGACTATAGATTTAGTATATACTACTGTAATAAACCCACTCCGGACGATATCGTATTCTCTTGTCTTGTCTTTATTCGTTTCTTTTCCCCGTTCACAGCTCTCTCTCACACTGGGATCCTTTTCCTGTTACTCTCGTTATTCCCTTCCGAGCGTGGCGTTCGCTCGCTTCCCTCGCCCCCTCACACCGCTGGCTAACGGCGTTCGGTAGACAGTGTCCAGCCTGCCACGTGGCCGCTGGTATGCCGGAGGCACAAGACGTAGTCTCTCCTTCAAGCTCTTCACACTGACCCCGAAATGTCTCTCTCCACCCCTTATATCACCTGGCTCACGTGATGCCACGCAGCCAATCATAAGCCTCTCCCATGGAACCTTCTCGATGTTGCTATACAGCCCCAGGGCTATGCCCTTGGCTCGACGTCCCATTGGCTGCGGGCTGAGGCCGGCAGAGCCTATCACCATCACCCAATTACCCACAGGTGCATCCTCATATTACACTACTATAGCCATTAGATACTACTGTAGAGTCATTTTTTACTACTATAGAGTTGGTTGATATTACTATAGAGTCGGCAGATACTACTATGGAGTTAGTAGTTACTACTATATTCAGGAGATATAACTATCAATATACACTAATATAGATGCAGTAGGTACTACTATATTAATTAGATACTACTGCAAAGTCAGTAGTTACTATGATAGAGTCAGTAGATACTACTATAGAGTCGGTAGATACTACTATAGAGTCAGTAGATAATACTACAGTCAGTAGATTCCACTAGTCAGTATATACTGCTGCAGTCAGTAACAACGACTATAGAGTCAGTAGATACTGCTATAGAGTCTGCAGATACTACTATAAAGTCAGCAGATACTATAGAGTCATTAGATACTACAACAGTCAGTAGATACCACTACGGTCAGTATATACTACTATATAGTCAATAGATACTACTATAGAGTCAGTAGATATGACTGTAGAGCCAGATACTATTGTAGATTCAGATACTACTGTAGAGTCACTAGATACTACTCAATCTATTGTATGTAAGGTGTGTAGGTATATATGCCTACACAGGGGTAAAACAATTTTTTTTGGGGGGGGGGTGTTGACGGCGCGCAAGGAGATGGCCACGTGGCCGCTGGCGCGCCGGAGGCGCGAGACGTGGTCTCGCCTCTAGACTCCACACACTGACCCTGCTGCTTCCTGCTTCCCCTTATAACCCTTCACCCACGTCACCAAGCCCCGCCTCTAGCCACGCCCCCTCACGAACCTTCTAGATGTTTACCCACAAGAACCCCTGAGCTCCGCCCTTGAACTTGGCGCATCCATCCGATTGGCTGATGGCTGAACCGGCGGAGCCTATCCCACCAATCGGCGACCGCCGGTGAACTCTCGTATTACATATGTATATGTTATGTTTTTAAGAGAAGTTTTGAAATATATATTTCGCCCGGGCAACGCCGGGTACTTCCCGCTAATATTTTTTATAAACAACTTGTATTTTCATGTTCTAATAAGTATGTCTTGTGTAGGAGCCATGCAGTCTTAAGAGCCTCTCATCTGGCATAACATAATGAGGCAGAAGTAAAAAAATGTGCGAACCACCCTCACCTTCCTGCGGATGCCGGCTGTAATGGAGATCATGGTGAGAGTCTCCACCAGCCCCGTGGATGAGTACAGGATGTTCTCCAGCGCCGTGTAGTCCTTGTATGAGGGCCGGTTAACCATGTCCGTCAGCAGGGAGATGGCTCCTGCAGCAGCACACACAGCACATGCAGCACACACGGCACATACAGCACAGACAGTACATGTGTCGTGGCATAGTACTGGCTGCTGGCAAAAAAGGAGAATCTGCGGTGTACGGCAGTCCTGACGTCAGCAGGCCAGGACATACACGAGAGGGGGATCTAGGGGAAAGGTAACAGAAGGGGCCCACCAGGAACCCGCTAGTAGGTTCCAGAAAGGGGGCGTGGCCGGGGCGGAGCAAGGCCACGCTTACAGTATAAGAGGGGCCCCTGTAGGGGACCTCGGGGCTGTTGTTGGAGTGGGATCCCCGTCGTGCTGTTCAAGATTATCGCCATTGTCGCTGTCATCTCGTCGCCATCGTCGCTGTTGTCTTCACTCGATATTGCGCTGTTAGATAGTTGTTGGTTGTCTCGGTTCAGCGCCGTCAGTGTTAGACGGTTAGTGTTATGTATATGCTAGCAACAGTAATAGTGTGTACTCACGTAGGATATGTGTTATACCGATGGTGCTCGTTAAATAAAAGAAGTGCCTCCAAGTCTTATCGTCTCTGAGTTAGTCACTACACATGTAGCAGCATATGCTGCACACACGTAGCACATGCAGTATAGACAGTATGTGGCAGCACGCACAGCACACACACAGCACACACGTAGCACGTGCAGTACAGACAGTTCATGTAGCAGCACACATCTCTACTCGCAACTTGCATGGGCCTGCAAACTGCAGTTACAGCCAGTCAGGTTTATTGAGCTGTTTGCATTGATTTAAGTAGATAAAACATGTCATGCAATATATGTTTCTATCAACATAGTAAAACATACTTGGGCATCGGAAAAAACAAGTTTCACTTAATGTGGTTCAAATTCCAAGCAATACGTGTGTGTTGCGTGACAGATTAACTGTCATGCAACACACACGTGTCTCTCATGAGAGGGTACGGTGGGAAGTTCTACCCGCTAGTGTGTGGATAAGATCAACTGAAGTTATTTCCAGTGCAACTCTGTGATATCTGCTTCCGTGGGTCAATGTCTAACACAGAGTGTTGGACTGCTCTGTGAGAGTTCCATATGGATTCTTTGTCTCATGACATGAAGCCCATTGCACAATTAGAAAACAATTGAGGGAAACAAAGAACACGGAAACAAAGAAAACTGACAAACCATCAATGACATCAATGGCAATGAACATTGGTTACCATGTTACTCTCGAATAGGAGTAAGTGTATGCATCTGTAAATGTCTAGTGAGTCATTTCGAGACCACTATTCAGAAGGCAACAACGTTCATTCTATTACACGTAACACCATTATACACGAGGCTATAAGACACCTATCTCTTGCCACACGGGATAACAATAATCGGGTCAGAACAGCCAACGGGCTGTCTGACCCACAACGTCGGAGTCGGAGACGTAGCACCTGGATTCCCTTTCACCTGCAGACTCCTTTTATCCCTCTCGGCGCGGCCTGGTTCCACCATCGGCCGTGCCCCCTACTGGAATATTCCCGAAGGATCCAGACCACCTTGCACGAGACACCTGCCCGGCTCCGCCCTTACACACGCCCCCTTCAGAAACTCTCCAGAAGGTTCTCGGCTACCCTTCCATGTCCCCTCGGTGACTCCTCTCCCCCCCGCTCCTCACCCCGGCCCATCACCTGCTTCACCCAATGCTGGGGTGACTTGTCCTCACATGCCCCCCTCCTCTGTAAGCAACCTCACCCTGTTCCCCCGTGCAATTACTTGCAGCGCTGGCAGAGGCCCGCTATTCCTTACCCTGTTGGCTGGGCTCGCCCGCCTCCTCCCTACAGCAACCAGCACCATGCCCCCAGTGACCCACTGTATGGTACTGCATGGTGTGCTAGCCTCTGTGCCAATATTCCCTTATCTTACAGCACTTAGTACTATGCGCCGTAGTGATCCATTTAAAATCACTACAAATGCATCTTGAGATACTGTGAAGAACACAGCAACAAGGATGGCCATGCCTGACAACGAGCCCTATGATTGCTGCACTCACGACAAGAACTAGGTCGACGTGATAGTTTATAACAAATATGCTGCAATACCACATCCCTGCACCAACCCTGCCCTGGGATTGGTCCTCTTGTACTGAGTAAAAGTGAATTCCATCCATTGAGTCCCACATAGGGGAGAACCCTTTCCCCACTCATGGTTACAGTGTCTGGATTATTTTTAGCATGGATTTTCAATAATTTCAGCCAACCCTTAACTGCATAGGATCACTTACTAAAGCTGGTCAGGTAAAGAGGTCGCTATAGCCAATGCTGCTGACACACCTCACTACCGCTTGCTTCCTAGAAAATTCAACACCTGACATACAAGCCCCTCTGTTTAAGTATTCCACCATCTGGCTTTCGGGAAAATAAATAAGCAGACACTGTCTCCTTCACAGATCTTTCTCTCCACATACACATTCTATGTATTTCTTGCACAACCCATCAGCTGCACGGCCTTCTGGGAGTACATAATTTCAAGACGGCAAACTCTGGACTTGTTTCAACATGCAGCGTCTCATCAGCAAACAGGCTTGCTTGAAGCGATGCTGGTAAACTGCTGATCTTGCAGGAAAGGACCTCCCTTTACGAAATGGGGTCCCAGTTTGACACGAAATGATATAAAATATAACGAACATAATAAATGACATCAGTGGGAAATATAAGGAATAAAATAATATATTTTGTAAGAATTGTTTTTTAAGTGGAGAAGAGACATTGATTTGAAACTTTCGTGACTGCAGGAATCCATACTCTTTGGTTCCTTTGGTAAAGTCACATAGGTATAAAATAAAATAAATAACGACGTTTCGGGCGCAACACAAGCGTCCATCATCAGGTAGGAAAGCATGGTCTGCTGCTGAGGAAGACTGTTTTAAAAGGTTTTAAATAGGTGTAGCTCAAGGGTTATAAAGAAGTGGCCGGGGCTAGTGATGTTAATGTGAGAAATTAGCATGTAACTGTAAGTTAGAAGAGCAGCCTCCTCGACGAGGGAACGGAAGTGGCTATATTAATGTGAGGGATTAGCATAATGTTAATGTGAGAAATTATCATGTAAAAGTAAGCGAGGAGAGCGGCCTCCTAGACAAGGGAATGGAAGCGGCTATGTTAATGTGACGGATTAGCATGATGTTAATGTGAGAAATTAGAGGGCATGAAGTGGCTATTTTAATGTGAGAGATTAGCATGATGTTAATGTTAAAAGCTTAGCATTATGTCAATGTTAACAACATAGCCACTTCCGTGCCCTCTAATTTATCACATTAACATCATGCTAATCCCTCACATTAAAATACAGAGAGAAAAAGTATTTGATCCCCTGCTGATTTTGTACGTTTGCTCACTGACAAAGAAATGATCAGTCTATAATTTTAATGGTAGGTTTATCTGAACAGTGAGAGACAGAATAACAACAAACAAATCCAGAAAAACGCATGTCAAAAATGTTATAAATTGATTTGCATTTTAATGAGGGAAATAAGTATTTGACCCCTCTGAAAAACATGACTTAGTACTTGGGGGAAAAACCTTTGTTGGCAATCACAGAGGTCAGACGTTTCTTGTAGTTGGCCACCAGGTTTGCAACACATCTCAGGAGGGATTTTGTCCCACTCCTCTTTGCAGATCTTCTCCAAGTCATTAAGGTTTCGAGGCTGACGTGTGGCAACTCGACCCTTCAGCTCCCTCCACAGATTTTCTATGGGATTAAGGTCTGGAGACTGGTCGTTATTCTTCAACCGAAGATCTATTTTTAGACTATAACGTTAGTGCTACATCTATCACTCTGCCTATCGGCCGGTCAGTCGGCGCAAGGCAATCCTATGCGATAGGCTGCAAACACACACACACACGTCAGCAGCAGCAGCTTGGGAGCGAGGTTACAGCCGCAACCATGGTCTGCTAATGTATCTCCATGCGTGGGTGGAGTCTCTTTGGCGGGACGACAACAAAGTGCCTCTGTTGTCTGTTCCCAGCCGCCTGCCCGCCTTGGCTTATGTGTTGCATTCGCTTCAGTCTACACGCCTGTTGATATCAAGATTCGAAGTCTGACAATTAGAAGCCGACCGAAATTTGGTTTCGGTTTCGGTTTTGGCGCCGAAAGTTGGCAAATGGCCTCTTTTGGCATTGTTTTTGTTTCGTTCGAAGCCAAAAAGTTAACTTTCGGTTAACTTTCAGTTTCGGCCGAAAGTCAATTTTTAACTTTCGGTTAACTTTCGGTTTCGGCTGAAAGTAAATTTTTAACTTTCGGTTTACTTTCGATTTTGGCCGAAAGTGATTTTTTTACTTTTGGTCTGATTTCGTTTTCGGCCGAAACCAGAAATTCAGTTTCTGTCGGCCTCTAATGTTGATATCGGTAAGGAACTGTTCCCATTGATCCATAAAAATGACTACGCTTTCACGTGTCATCACTGCTGATAAAAACAAAAAGCGGGATATTCTGCCACTTATGTGTGAGATGCCGGGTGATAATAGTTGGAAAGCAGCGCTTATGAGGACCGCTTCTAGGCCACTTGGTAATTTGTTGCACAACTCCTCGAACCCAAACATGAATGGATAGAGGGATGCGGAAGCGGTGCAGTGTGAGTTCTGTACCTTGTGCCTGCAGTGACGAAATACAATGGCAGCACTTAAACCATTACCATCATCACCATCATAGTCACACATCAGCAAAATCCATTGTCTATCCACTTCTGGATGAAGACCTCCCTACACCTCACTATCCCTAAGAGTTCTGCGACTAACAACCGATCCCACTCCTGCACACGAGCTTCACGGTGGTCGTCTGCATCACGTGTGACGGAAAGCCGCACAGTAGCAGTCGCATGGCCATCATCATCAACATGATGAACATCGGCATCGTCATCAGTATCAATCCTCACCATCATCCGCACCACCATTATTCATCCGTCATCTGAACCAATGATGATAAAGTGATGATCATGATAACCATATCATTGCTATAAAGAGAGTTATTAAGGCACATTTCTGCATGTGCCTTTTGCCCTCTAATGGGGAATATTCTGTGTGGCTCCACTTATCCATGACCACTGCCAGGTAACTCCTCTTTTATGTAGATAAACGTGCAGAACATGAGGAATCGACCCGTGAACAACAGAAGCGTTCATGGACCAGGGCCACAGGGATAACAGGCGTCAAGGTATTGGCAACGTAAGAAAGCTCTACTGTAGTCTCCATCCTTCCCTATGCGTTCGCGCCAAGTGGAGCCAGGGCCAGCATCTCCAGCGCAGCCAAAAACAGTCATCGGCATCACGGCACCGTTTGCGAAACGCATCCATAACAGCGGTGGAATCAAAACGTCGCACGCACCGGCCGTCACGTACAGTGGACGGGCCGAGCGCCCCCCAGCCCATGCAGCGCGTGGTTCGCAGTCTCGGGCGTCGCCTGGCACTGCCATAGTGGGGGAGGGGCTCTGCCACCTGCCTCGTGTTCGTGTCATTGCAGACATTCCAGTTAATTAATATCTGGAAGTGGTGTATCAGTTTAAGTAACTGTTAATTCAGTCCATTGGAACCTCATTTGCTAGTAAAAAATATGATAATTGTTTTTTTTACCCTTCCATCTGGCAACAAAACTGACACCATTTTTGCCAAGGAGTCATGTTTGCATAGACCACAATACCTGCAACCATAATGCAAACAAAAAACATAACTCTGATAATATGTGCACTGTCCTTGAAGTTGATTGGCACACACCCGAGACAGCTTTCATTAGAGCCTAGTCTCACATGGGTTGGACCAGATGACGCCAAAAGGCGCACAACTAAAAGACAATGCACCATCAGAATATGAGAGCTCGGGGTAAGCATTTACACCATTGGAACCTCATTTGCCAGTAAAAATATGATAATTGTTTTTTTTTACCCTTCTATCTGGCAACAAAACGGACACTTTTTTTTTACAAGGAGTCATGTTTGCATAGACCACAATACCTGCAGCCATAATGCAAACAAAAAACATAACTCTGATAATATATGCACTGTCCTTGAAGTTGATTGGTCCACACCCGAGACAGCTTTCCTTAGAGCCTAGTCTCACATGGGTTGGACCAGATGACACCAAAAGGCGCACAACTCAAAGACAATGCACCATCAGAGTATGGGAGCTCGGGGTAAGCATTTACACCATTGGAAACCTCATTTGCCAGTAAAAAATATGATAATTGGTTTTTTTACCCTTCTATCTGGCAACAAAACTTACACCTTTTTTTACAAGGAGTCATGTTTGCATAGACCACAATACCTGCAGCAATAATGCAAACAAAAAACATAACTCTGATAATATATGCACTGTCCTTGAAGTTGATTGGTCCACACCCGAGACAGCTTTCCTTAGAGCCTAGTCTCACATGGGTTTTGTTGCCAGATAGAAGGGTAAAAAAAACAATTATGTTAATTCAGTGTTATATCCCACAACAAAAAATAGTATCCAAAGTTTATGTGTAAAAGGCAGAGCGTTTCCCCATCATATTGACGCCAGTATCTTGTTCAACCAATGCACCCCTACCCAGGCTTCTGCATTTAAAAGGCCCAAGTAATCACGTGCACAGACTTAAAGGTCATTTGCATCTCAAGCGTGCAACCACAGTGACTGAATTTACACATTTAATAAATTATTGGAAACGACCACTGATTGCAAGCGCACATATTGAGCAACATCAACTTCAGTAACTGCTCGGTTGAAGAATGCTCCTAATTCATATCTCTGACGAGCACTTGCGGCCTCATTGTTCTCCTACCATTACATCACACCTCACATTTAAACAAAGCGGCTTTCCCAGATCCATTTCTCAAACATGATGACAAACAGTGTAAACCACATCATGTTAAATGCTCTAAGCATATGCTCTTCCTCACCCTGTGCGTTACAGATGATGTCCAGGTCCTGCTCATTGGAGACCCTGGCCAGGGTGTCCAGAGCTGAGAGCTTGCAGGGTGCATCGGGCACGTCCAGGTAGCAGGCCGGTACATCCGCCGCCAGCTCCTGATGGAAGCACGACTTCAGCTCCGGCTCCATGCTCAGGTTTTCAAGCGTTGCAGTGGCAAACCTCAGCGTGTTTTTGTATTCCTGATAAAGGAGAGAGCAAAACAGCAGCAATAGACGCCATCAGTGACATAGAAAAATATCTCCATGGAATTTGGATCAAACAACAAACTTCTGGTGCCCTCCCATCCCCTTCACCAACCAGCATGGTAAGGTATGGTCAAACAATCTCAAATTATGGCAGGGGTAGGTTTTCATATAGCAGTGGATTAATAACGACTGCAGATTATTACAAGTCCTCTGCAATAATGTTCATAACACTGAAGGATTTACTGTGCACATTTAACTAAGAACACTATACCAGGGGTCAACAAAGAAAATAACAAAAAGAGCCATTAGTTTGTCAATTGGTAAAAAGCTCAATATTTAAAGAGCCGCAATGCACGTGGTGAATACGAGACGGTGGACCTTAATAAATAACGTTGCAAAGCAGTCCTTAAAGAGCCGGAGACACAGGTTGCTGATCCTTGCAACTGTAATATGAGAAATAATAATAGAAATAAAATAATAAATCACGACGGTTCGGGCGCAACACAAGCGTCCGTCATCAGGTGGGACAACCACAGCAAGAAACAAATGCTGAAGTGGGCAAAAGAGCTGCTGTAACAAGGGGGCTATATAGGTAAGAGACAGGGGAGGAGCCAGGGAGGAGAGATAGAGGAGGGTGGGGGGGGGGGAAGTGGGCGGGGCTGGGAGTGGGAGGAGGAAGAAACTGGAGATGCGGATATGAAGGGGGCTTTTGGCTGAGTTTAGGGGGCTTTTGGATGAGTTTAGGGGAGTTTTTTGGCTGAGTTTAGGGGGGGTTTTAGCTGAGTATAGGGAGGTTTTGGCTGAGTTTAGGGGGGGGGGTTTGGCTGAGTTTAGGGGGGTTTTTGGCTGAGTTTAGGGGTTTTTTTCGCTGAGTTTAGGGGGTTTTGGCTGAGTTTACGGGGGTTTTTGGCTGAGTTTAAGAGTATGAATCCCTGCAGTCACGAAAGCTTCAAATCTAGAATGTAATACGAGAGTTCATCGATTATGCAATGGCGGAAATTGGCGCGCCGTGTTGTCATGGCCTCGTCGATGTCCTCCACCATACCGGGTACTATACAGGGGGTGGACGTTCGGATTTTAATCGACACCGGGGCATCGGCGACTATCATTTCTGACGTCATTTTCCACCTCCTGCCTATTCCGGCTTCACGGGTGCGACCGGCTTGTGAAGCGTGTATTGCCGCTAAGGTGGGGAGTATGGGCATTATCGGACAAGTGGATGTTCACATTGCTGTTGGTAATGTGGCCGCGTCGGGAATGGTCTTGATTTCGCGTTCGTTGGCGGTACCCTGCTTGTTGGGCACCGACTTCCTTCATAGAATGCCCGTTAAGATCTTTGTGGATCAGGGCTGTTTGGAACTGCCGGAGGGCCAGAAATTTTTTTTGCCGTCGCCGCTGGGTCGGCCATTGCCGTGCCTTGCCGTGCAGGCTATGACGGACGTCACGGTGGAGGTTCCACCTGGCGCGCAAATGCTCATACCCTTGTGTTACCGGAAACCCTTGGAGGATGTGGACGCGTCGGCCGGAATTTTGCTGTCCCCGTCTTACTCCGCCGCCAACAGGGATTACTTTTGGCCTGGCATGACGGCTGATGTCGCCAGGGCCATCCAGACGTGTCCTGAATGTGCTCGGAGAAAACCCCCACGCTCGAAATATATTCCACCCTTGCAATCAATAAAGGTTACTCGAATTAATGAGCTAGTAGCTCTTAATATCCTCGGGCCGTTTCCTCCTTCTGCCAGGGGCAACAAATTTCTGTTGGTTGGGGTGGAGCATTTTTTGCGTTGGCCGATGGCTTGGGCCTTGCCCGATCAGTCGGCGGCGTCCATTGCGGATGCGTTCGTGAACGGTTATGTGATGGACAAGGGGGCTCCGGAACGGCTACTCACTGACCAAGGCCGAAATTTCTCATCAAAATTGTTGCGTGACGTGTATGACGCCTTGGGCACTAAGAAGATACGCCTGTCACCCTACCATCCGCAAACGGACGGAATGGTGGAACGGTTCAACCGTACCTTGTCTGCCATGCTTTGTCACACGGTGCACGAAAAACAGGCCGATTGGGACCTTCACGTTCCTAGCGTACTGTCCGCCTATCGTATGACCCCACACGCCTCCACAGGTTACTCACCGTTCTTCCTCATGTACGGTTGGGAAAACGTACCGCCAATTGATGTGCAACTCGGGACGCCCGCTAAGGAACCTGCGCTAAGCTTGCCAGAACATGTCCGCGATTCATTTCGCCGGGTCATGGAAGCGCGGGAGGCGGCGAGACTTGCTATGGCGAGGACCCAGGCCCGTAACGAGCGGTGCGCTCGTCGATCTCGACGTGATATGCCATGGGTCGTGGGCGACCGGGCCTGGATCCACTGTCCCCAGGTAACGGTGGGTACCTCTCCCAAATTACATAGGCCATGGCAGGGGCCTGTTGAGTTGATCGAGGTACGGAGCCCTCAATGTGTATGTATTCAGTTGGGTTCGCGCCGCTGGTACGTCCACACTTCACGGTTGAAACCTTTCTTAGCACCGCGCATCGATCCCTCATCCCCATTAACTACCCTGCCGGGGTCTGATGCGCCCGATGGGCCGCCTGGGTTGCCAGTTCATCCCCAGAAGGGGTCTGGTTTGCCTTCCACAGACCCACAGACACTGAACGCCCCGGATGCTGCGGATGATCCAGCTCCGGCGGAATCTTCTTCCGCCAAGTCGGACGCTCCATACCCCATTCTCCCATCTTCTGCGACATCGGGACCAGCGGCGCATCGCTCTGCGGCGAGGGATGGCCCTGCGTCGCGTACACACTAGAAATCTGTTCCCTTTCGTTAATAACTGTTATACCCTCTTGCATTATGTGTTCATATGCATCTTATCGATACTGTTGTGAATTACTTGTGTTCTTACTGCCCTTGCCTTGTGCAATTGTGGGGCACCTTTTTATTGTTCTTGTCGTTGCATTGTCGTCATGCTCTATGGCTTATTGTTGTTGCTTGTATTAGCCAGGCCGGCTAGTCCTGTTACACCGGGGGGGGGGGGGGGGGGGGGGGTGATGTAATACGAGAGTTCATCGATGAGCGCCGATCAGTGGATAGGCTCCGCCGCTTGGGCCATCACCCAATTAGAGGGATGGGCCGAGGTTAGGGGCAGAGCTCAAAAGGCTCAGGGGAAGTAACCATCTCGAAGGTTCGTGAGGGGGCGTGGCTGTAGGCGGGGACTGGTGATGTGGGCCAGGGGATATAAGGGGAAGCGGAAGAGAGCTCGAGAGCAGTGTGTGGAGTCAGAGAGCAGGACCACGTCGCTCGCCTCCGGGACGCCAGCGGCCACGTGGCGGGCCGGAGGCTTCCTCCCAGCGCACCGCCTGTCAGCGGTGCGCGGGAGCAGTTGAGAGAGAAGGGCGAGTAACCACCAGCCGTATGGAACGGAGTGCAGCCGTGCGAAAGAGAGAGAGAGAGGAAGCGGCGCTGTCCAGCTGTGGAAGAAATAATAAAGACAAAGACACAAGTCCAGAACGTCGTCGCAGTGGTTTATTTCACAACTATACTGCACACCGTATATACAGACTAGCAGGAAGAACCCGGCGTTGCCCGGGAGATTTTTTTTCTCCAAAACTTCTCTTAAAAACCTTACAAATATAGTGAGGGAAAAAAGTATTTGATCCCTTGCTGATTTTGTACGTTTGCCCACTGACAAAGAAATGATCAGTCTATAATTTTAATGGTAGGTTTATTTGAACAGTGAGAGACAGAATAACAACAACAAAATCCAGAAAAACTTATGTCAAAAAAGTTATAAATTGATTTGTATTTTAATGAGGGAAATAAGTATTTGACCCCCTCTCAATCAGAAAGATTTCTGGCTCCCAGGTGTCTTTTATACAGTTAACGAGTTGAGATTAGGAGCACACTCTTAAAGGGAGTGCTCCTAATCTCAGCTTGTTACCTGTGTAGTAAGTATTTAGGAGGCTTGGACGACGGGGTCGGAGGCACACTTATTTATTAACACCAACTCGTGCACAGTAACGGGTACACACAGTGCTTAAAGGGGTATCGTCCCCTTCACTCGTCTAACAGGGAGACACAACATCTAACCCCGCTAACCTACGCCCGAGTCCTCCACTACGGAGCTAGGAGAGGCTACCTATCCCAGCCCTGGTCAAGCTGGGATCCCGGCACCCTGAGTCTCCAGACCGGCTCTTATAAGAACGTCAGTCTGGGCTCTCGGGGCCACGCCACCGGCTTGCCCTGGTCGGCCCTGACAAGGACAGCGAGCCAGGGGAGCTCCGGGGCCTATTCTAGCTGGTCTTCAGTCTTCGCTGGTTTAAGCTAATACTCGACCTCGAGCCCTCCGGCTCACCACCTTTTATAGTACTCGGCCCCCGGGAGGGGCCCGTGGGGGATGCAGGTGCGGACGTCGGTGTGAGCACCTCCTCTGTGTACGGCCCTAACCACGCCCCTTGTGTTTGTTAGCCATCCGCGCCCATACACAATTACACCTCTACACCTGTATAAAAGACACCTGTTCACAGAAGCAATCAATCAATCAGATTCCAAACTCTCCACCATGGCCAAGACCAAAGAGCTCTCCAGGGATGTCAGGGACAAGATTGTAGACCTACACAAGGCTGGAATGGGCTACAAGACCATCGCCTAGCAGATTGGTGAGAAGGTGACAACAGTTGGTGCGATTATTCGCAAATGGAAGAAACACAAAAGAACTATCAATTTCCCTCGGCCTGGGGCTTCATGCAAGATCTCACCTCGTGGAGTTACAATGATCATAAGAACGGTGAGGAATCAGCCCAAAACTACACGGGAGGATCTTGTCAACGATCTCAAGGCAGCTGGGACCATAGTCACCAAGAAATCAGTTGGTAACACACTAAGCCGTGAAGGACTGAAATCCTGCAGCGCCCGCAAGGTCCCCCTGCTCAAGAAAGCACATATACATGCCCGTCTGAAGTTTGCCAATGAACATCTGAATGATTCAGAGGACAACTG